TACAAACAACGACACTGACGTGGCAGTGGGAGGCCCACACCCATCACATGGCCCCCCCCACACATACGAACGCTCTCATGCAAAAAGTGCATCAGCGGTTAGTTCACCTCTCTTCTCTCTCACACAACTCTCAAACGCAATGCATAATCGAGGAGAAGGGACAGTGTGGAGCCCGGTCAAATTAAAAAATAAAGGACACAAAAAAGTGGAGGAATGAGAAGCGGTTTTGATGTGGGATAGAGAGAGAGTGAGATAATATTGTGGGCGCTGCCTCTTGTATTCATGCAAATGCCAAACGAAGCACAATCATACGTATGAAAACCACCACCAACCAACCACACCAAATGAAACTAAAACCGCTTTCTCGATTGGCGGTATTGGCCTCACAGCCGCGGTTTCATCCGTTTATTTTGCCTCCTGCCTTGCCTTATGAGGAGATGCTCTCTTTGGGGCGAATCACAATATAAATGTGATGTACAAATTAAAAAAAAGGTTATCACGCATGCCATGTATATTATATGTGATGTCTGAATTTCAAAATACAATGTGAATGTGATGTACCCAGACACAAAGGCACCATACATGTTCGGGCAAATCTGTCCTAGGCTGTAGCGCAGAAAAGGACCTCACACCAAGGTTTTCTGGGAGGAGCTGGTTGCGGCACATGAACGACTGAATGTACATTTCCATTTCTCGTCTTATTTTGGTAACCATTTCATATCCTCATATCTGATATGACGTGAAAAGACTATATACCAAGTTTCGTTGGTACTGAGGAGTTTGGTAACTAGGTGTTTAGGTTGTGCGACTCGATATAAACCGTGGAAATATCGTGATAATTGACTACTTAAAAGTATATGGTCCATTACTAATTAATTGTATAAAGACATTTTAAGTTAAAACACCACACTTAGATGGGGCTTACGCCTCATTTTATCCAAACAATTGAATACATGTGGTAAGTTAAAAGCAATATCGATGTAATCTTGGATGTATTTTATATTTGAATTGAATTTGACCTAGTCTGGCTCCTTACTCTTTGATCTAGAATGTACTCCTAGATACCCACAATCAAGGGAGGCCCTGGGCATAAGCAAACAAGGTGGCCGTCTAGGGCCCCCAATTTGTATAATACCTTCTATATACACACCTATATTATTCTTAAAAACTATATTATATAAATATTATGTTAGGCCCAAACCAATTATTGTATAATATAAAAAAACTTACCTAATCATTCAATTCAAAATTATTATTATAAAAATAATAAATAAAAAAATTTAAAAGAAGAAAAAAAAAAAAAAAAAAAGAAAAAATAAAGAATTATTTTGCAAATTAGACCTATTGAATCAATTAGGAAATTGAAGAAAAAAAAAGATAGAAAAACTTGATTATGTGTTGAATCAAAAAAATGCAAGACGAGTGATATTTAAGTCATGTTTTGATGCATTTTATAAAATTATTGTGTAAATTACATATTGATTGTTATTTTTATATTACAAGAATTTGAGTTCATATAATTTTTTTTTTAACTTATAAGAAAAAAAATCACATAAATATATATATATATATATATATAGAGAGAGAGAGAGAGAGAGAGAGTACAAATTCCCATTTGCCATTTGGTATCATCTTGTAGCACTCACTACTCACGTGCTCTTGGGTCGGTTCGTTTGTTTCCTTCCCACACAATTGGCCCTTTGAGCTACGTGCTTTGTTTATAAGGTGTGTGAAATCAATTGTGTTGGCCTCTCGATTTTAATTTTACAAGGTGTATGATGTTAGAATAAAATGCCACAAGCGTCAAATTATAATTCCAAAATCTCAATTATATGTGATACAATAATGTTTAATCTTCCTATTTGATAACTCTAATGATTTTGTTAATTTTGTGTTGCCAAGTGATTGTATGTATCCTCAAAGATTCTAAATTTGAGCTTCTCCCAAACCAAAAGCAAAAACACCTTTGTAAAAGTTTCTTTAAAAAGGTGTGCGAAACCCCAAAACAATGCTAAATTTGTGTTATGTGACATTGACAAGAAGGGAAACAATTCAGTCGGTTTTTGCATTTAAATTAGATTCAAAATTTGGTAGCTATCAAAATTTCATTTGCTTTGAGAATGAGTTCCTCTTGATTTTAAGGAGTCGAGCTTTTTTCGTTTAATAATATCTGTTTGATAGGATTAAATCGGTGAATTTGTATGTTACTTTTTTTAGCTTGATATACATCGATAGCATCTTCTTCTGCATTGATGTGTGGTTTTACTATTTGAAAAACAGAAAGAAAGACAAGGAAAAGATTACATAAACAGTATCCTCCTTGCTAGAAGATCACAGTGAGAATAATAATAATGTCCCTCTCGTCTTGTTGGCGCGAAGATTAATAATGTTTCACGTACAACTTTTACATGCATGTATAATTAATTAAGGACCTAACATTAGGATGTGATGTCAACCATACAAATTAGTGTAATTTTGTACGTGAATTATGTGTAAACAATTGGGTTAACGATGGTGCCACTGCCAGCTAAAAAAGTAGAATTATTCCATGTTTTCTCCAAAACGGCTACTTTACCCCCTCCCTCCAATATTATTGTCGCACTGTGTGTCTTCACTCTGCAGCACATAAAACAATTTGTAATTAATTAATGACAAAGTAGTACTAGTAGTAGCCAGGATGTGAATGAATGGAATATCGTCCGAATTGCTGGATGTTATTATCGTGTGGACGTCATATATTTTAAATTATCAAGAAATATATTAATAATTAAAATTTATAGTCGATTTGGAGCTACTTTTATATAAAACACTTCTACCGTTTATTATAAGAACGTTGAATTTTTTGTTAAAAACCTTCCGAAACCGTTTTTAGTTTGGAAATGCTTCTTCAAAAAACGCTTTTATGACCCATAAACATTGTTGTTTGTCAAAAACCGGTTCAGCTCTTGTAGAAGCACTCGAAAACAGACCTATGCAAGAAACAATCTCTTGTGTTGTGTGTGAAACCTGCAGTTTATAATCAGTCTAGATGTCATATATGTGGGTTGTGATGGTTTAACAATTAACAATTAGTTAATAGTCATTCCAACAAATACTAAAACACATGATCATCCAATCCTGATACCTAGACAAAGCATGAAACAAGATGCGCCCCAGAGAATTGCGTCATCTAACCTGCAGTTTCCAATATAATTAAGTATGTGAACAACTAGTTTCTCCAGGAGGTACACATTGTTACATTTTGACATGTGCTTGCTGCAATAATATATATATATATATATATATATATATACTTTGTAGGTTGTGCTAGCTTCCTAGAGGCAATACATTATTACGATTATGAGTGAAAAGAATCAATTCCTATAGCTACGTCTTAAAGTTTTCAATTCGTTAAAAGTTGAATATAGGTATGTGTGTGTGTGTGTGTGTATATATGCATACAGCCTGCAGGAAATGCATGTTGATGCAAGAATTCTGTTTTCCCAAATCAATATGTACTACCAAGTTCTTGATTAGGTTTCTAATTGGGTAAAATAAAATTTATTAAACTTAGAATATCAAACTCGAAAATTTATATGCGTATCATATGTGATACTTCTATATTCTTAACATGTGCTCTTACATGTAGTTAGAGTGAGTAAGTATGTGTATATAAGGGAACACGAAAGACATGTCCCAAACTAGGTCTGACTAATGGATATATTGGGCATTCTACTAAAATAAATTAATGTTCATTCTGAGAGCAAGTAAATATGGCTACCATTCTTACTAAAAAAAGTATGGTTACCATTCATCCTAAATCAATTGATAATAGGCGAAGAGGTCCAAAATTTTATATGTGATGCAAGAGGACTCTGTTTTTAACAAATTTGTATTACCTAAAATGAATAAATTATGTTGGACTTATTAGACTTTAAAAAAAATAGTTGTTATATATAAGGGTAGCGATATTGACACTATTCTCCATCTTATGAAGAGAAAGGGTGCTAATATTATCATTTTTTTAAAAAAAAATTTGTAAAAATATGATTCTTTACTATGATCTGGGTAATTATGTACTATATACTTCACAATAACATCTATTAAATCTTTAAAGAAATACTTTCTTCACATGTTATATCCACTGTAGCAACAGAGCAATTTTTTTTATTTTTTATACAAATAATATTTTACTTTAATGTAATCTAAACTACGGTAAGAGAATTCATATATTCAGACATAGAGTAGGGAGCTTGTTGTCTCTAAAGAAATCATTTCTTCACATGTTATATGCAACCGTAGCAACAGAGCAAAAACTTAGGTAAACAATAAAATATTAGCTAAGAACTTATATTAATTTCCTTAATAGGAATTTAGTGTACATGCACTTTTATTTTCCTGTTCGTTGAATATTCCTTACTTGCACTAATCACATACAGAACAAACATAGGCGTATTTATCCATGCCTAGTCATTAGAGAGAGAAACAAAGAGATGCATTATTTCTGCATGTTCATCCAGTCATATTTGGGAAGCTATAGAAAAAATAAAATAAATAAATACCTGACAATCTGATGCTAAAATGCATCCTTTTTCGGTTCAGACAGATTTGTGGGTCAAAGCTTGCAGTGTATGGATATTTAAATAACAAGTTTGTCTGATTAATAATTTCGGTGAAAAAGACATAAATTCACCTTGAGAGAGAGAGAGAGAGAGAGAGAGAGAGGAAAAAGCAGATTCCATTTCAATCTTAGGGCCTTAGGCTATAGCTCTTAGGTGGTGCTGCTACACACACAACATACACACACTCTAGTGTAGTTATATGCATTCTGTAATAAATTAATAATGCATTGTTGATGAGGAAAATGGACCATTTTATAAATATGTTTATATCTGAATTTCCTTCCACTTGTTGCAACTTCATGTTCTTAAGCCTAGCTCCTCTATAGATTTCCTTTCCCCCACTCCCTCCTTAAACAGTGCTTAGAGAGAGAGAGAGAGAGAGAGAGAGATTAGAGACAGATGGAGCTTACCCAACATGGTTTCTTAGAGGAGCTACTACTGGCACCAAGAAGAGACAGTTGGAGCACCTACTCCTCCAACTCCTCTGGATTGAATGAGTTATTTCCCATTAATGGATGGAGCTTTGATTCTTTTGAAGAAAACCCAGTTTTGGTTTCTTCAGTTAATAATCCCCCATTTTCTGGGTTCTCCACACAAACCGATCAACCACCAAGCTTTGAAGAATGCCCATTTTCTACTGACCATCATCAAGCCTCCTCCTCTTACCCTTTTGTTGATGGACTCTGTACGGTCCCAGAGATTGATTCATCATACACCAAGGACAATGACACTACTGCCCCCCCATTTCCATCACAAGATCAAGATTACCCTTCAATGGTGGAAGATGAGGAGTTTGGGGGGTTTCTTGGAAGTGAGAATCAGAGAAGCTGTTTGGAGGAAAGCAAGAACATTGCTACTTGCAAAGTTGAGATGGAACAACAAGCCACAGATCATATTCCTTCAGCTTTTAATATGGGTTTGTGTGGTGAGAAAAGAAGCAAGGCTAAGAAGTTAGAAGGGCAGCCTTCAAAGAATCTTATGGCAGAGAGAAGAAGGAGGAAGCGCTTAAATGACCGCCTTTCCATGCTCAGATCAATAGTCCCCAAGATAAGCAAGGTGATTTATGTTTTGCATTTGTTGAAAGTTTCAATCTTTTTCCTTTTATCATTATTGTGCAAGATCAATAATGGTGGCATTTCATTTCATTGTTCTTGATGTTCCACTGATAAAAAAGAATTTATCTGCTTTCTGAGGTTGGCCAAATCCTCACTACTAATAATATTGAGAAATTTGTCTCAGATGGACAGAACATCTATACTTGGAGACACAATAGATTATATGAAAGAGCTTTTGGAAAGGATCAATAAGTTGCAAGAAGAAGGAATTGAAGAGGGTACTAATCAGATCAACTTAATGGACATCTCCAAGGAGCTAAAGCCAAGTGAGGTATTAGTCAGAAATTCCCCCAAGGTAAAATTCATACACCAATTTCACCTTATGACCTCGAAATCAAGTTTTTATCCAACTACTTCAATTCTTTAATCTCTCTCTCTCTCTCTCTCTCTCTCTCACTTTTGCCTCATTGACCATATATACAGTTTGATGTGGAGAGGAGAGACATGGATACCCGGATAGACATCTGCTGTGCAGCCAAGCCAGGATTGCTGCTGTCAACAGTGAATACTATAGAAGCACTGGGCCTTGAGATTCAACAGTGTGTTATAAGCTGCTTCAATGATTTTTCAATGCAAGTTTCATGTTCAGAGGTTTGTGTATATAAACTTGGTTGGCCTATACATATGTTAGCTGGTTGTGCAAAAGCTTCCAATAAAACTTTGGTTTTTAATGTTTATGTTTCTCTATATGACCTTTTAGGGAGCTGAGCAGAGAACTTTGTTAAGTCCTGAGGACATAAAGCAAGCATTGTTCAGAAATGCAGGGTATGGAGGAAGATGTTTGTAGGAACAAGAGGTGCAAAATGAAAACGGCTGCTTACAAATTACAATTGAAGTCTGGAGAGATGGGTTTTTACATGTCCCCATGAGATTTTCCAAGTGAGGAGCTGTGATTATATTTGTCGTTTTAAATAAATGTCCATTTATCAGATCCATTTCTATTCTGTATTATCTACTTCAGTTGAGGTATATATATATATATCTTCCAACATAAGGGTCACTAGTTCCACTTCTAACCAAAACAGATGACAGAGCTAATAAAGATTTTTGCCTTTGATTTTCATCTGCTTCTTTTCTGCGTTTCAATGGCTACATGATGTTTTCTTGTTGCTATATTACGGGCAGAGACTTGTTGTCCCTAAATCTCTGAAGAATATAACTAAAGCACCAGAAATGATAAACTGCATAGAAACCATGACAACAACCAGAGAAATTAATTCATGAAGAGCCGTCAAAATTTTCTTTTTCCCACCAATTATGCAGGGCTGGTTTGATAGGGAGGATTAGACTGGACTAGACTAACAAAAGGTCTATATTTCATGTGCATTCAAGGCATAATATGCATATTTTGCCTAACTTAGAAGAATATTGGGGACTATGTATAAGAGGTCGATGACTAAAACTTATTCCCATAATCCCTTAAAAATGGTGGGATTATGAAGGATAAGTTTTAGTCATCAACCTCTTATGAATAGTCCTCTTTAATCCTCCAAGTTAGAAAACAATATCCAAATTATGCATGGATTGCACATAAAATGTAGGTATTTTGCTAGTCTAGTCCAGTCCTCCCTAACAAACGAGGCCTTAAAGCCGAAACAATTGTTGTTCCTTTCACTCGATAGTTAACTTGGCCAAACTAGCTAATTTAATCTGCACTTTTTGGTTAATGAGATACTAGGACTGCATGTTTAATGAATTAGCAAAACCTTGTTGTTTTCCCCCAGAAATCTTCATCAGATGTGATCCCTCACCTTCAATCAAGGGTAAAGATTGCACGTTCTTGTTTGAATTTGCGATTCAATTCACACTTCGACAATATAACTGTTGTTGTTTGGATCTGCAATTCAATTCACAGTTTGACAATATAACTATCAGAATGTCGGGTCCAATAGTCCGAGAACACGACATTCTGTGGGATAGAGACCTCATCTTTTTAGATAATTCAAGATGGAACACTGCAAGGCCAAACATTCTTTATAACGACAAAGGTATGGTTAGCGAAATTACACCAAACATTCTTTAAGTCCACAATTGACGCAACATGCATAAAAACAGATTCATAGGGTTTAATTAGTCAAAGATTACCCGACATATCTCACCCGTCATTGTCTTCCATTTGCTTAATTACCTAAGCTGAAATCAGATGAGTTTTAAATACATTGCATGAGGATATGAAACAAATAATGAAATCATCAAAGAAGAACTTGGATTTCTATTACCCAAAAAAAAATATACAAAATACAAAATTTAGGGATCAATGATAAATACACTACAGGTTCCAAAGTAAGCAGTTACAGAAGGCATCTTCAATTATTGTGATAGGAAATCCTACATCTCTATTAGTATGTTACATATCTAAGAAAAAGAAAGGAGATAAATCACATTACTAAGTATCGTTTTCGCCTTCCTCATCATCATTTACAATCCCATCCTCATCCAAATCAGAAGAGTTTTCCATGGTATTGGCCTGCAGATGTTGGAGCTTATTGATAGCATCTCTTGCTTCAGAAACCAGGGCAAGTTTTGCAGTTCTGACCATATCCACTTCCTGGACAGTGGATTTTTGAGTGCATGTAGAGGCTGCTTTTCTCTTAGCTTCCCTGTTATGTAATTGGTCAATATACTTATCATGCCAGACCCTATTTCTGACCTGCTTCAATACAGGGGGGCTAACAAGAGGTTCCCCAGATGAGCTATTAAATCTCGACAGGGGCTTCTTATTATGATCTGAAGATCTTTGACTGCACTTTTGAAGAAGTCCCTGTTTTCCCTTTAAATTCTTTGGGGTAGAAAGTATTACACTAGGCTGACTCTCAGTATATGAATCTAGACTGGGCTCAAGTACTGAAAATAGATCTGCCTCATATTCCTGGTACACTTGATGATGCTTTTGTAATAACTTTCTGACAGTTTTCTGAGCAATATGACTCCTCTGTTTATTGCAGTTTGACCTTTTAGCCTTTAGTTCAGTGGGTTTAAGTAGTTTACTTGCAGAGAGTGAAAATTGTCCAAGGGGGGATGAATTTTCTAAGATCTGTGCCCTTGATCGGGTACGAGGTGGAGGCGGGGTTATATGCTCAGAATGGACTCTATCAAAGCACTCCTGTGCAGATTTTCCAGGCACCTGAGATTAAATTTGTATGGAAACATAAGTTCTCTATATATGATCTGAATAAAGCACTGGAAATATAAATTTGGCTATGCATGTCAAACGACAAAGATATATAATTACTGTCTCAAGCACAAATCTAAATGAGCCCACAAAATATTCAAGGGACTTTGAAACAAAGCATCGATTCATAGCTGAAAGCTTCAATGGCAACAAACTTTCAAATCAGTAACTCGCAAGACAGAAAATGAGGAGAAAACTGCAGTTGGATGTAATTCACAAAGGGTAACACTACAGCTAACTTTAAAATGCTAATTATTGGAACATGAAACTCCAATTATACCACCAGTATGGCCTTTTCTTACAACTAAAAGGATTATCATGCAGGACCTATCACCATACTTGCATAATCTAAAGCCTCACTAATTACCGTTAAACCAGCCTTTTCAGGCTAGCATTACTGTTGAGTTCTTTACTTAGGTGGACATCCGTATCAGCTCCACAACTACGTATATAAAATGATCCAAGATCACACTGAATTTGAGCACAACTATTAAGGCCAGCTCCCAGCATGTAACCAATATTGTCACTCACTGGAAAGAGCATGTACCCTATATCTTAAAAATTATCCTTTCAAGAGTTAGACTGATCTTCATTACACAATTTAATTATATGAACTTTCACACCCAATATAACATCTTTCCCTCCAGTATCTTGCCTTTCATTGTCATTGGAACAGAAAACTTGCAGATGTAAAAGAAACAAAAGCAAGAGCAGTACTCCTAGTCCTACCATACCAATAAAACAGGAGAGAAACTGTCAACATTGATGACAAAAGTTTACCATTTTTACTCATAACAAAATCCAAATTGTAGACTTCAAAAGCTTATACTCGAAGATGCAAAAGTTTCATTACTCTTTTTCAGTATTGTTCTAAATATTAGGAGGCTAAATTATACTTTGATCCCAAATTTTTAACACTGACTCCACCTGAATCCTTATGGTTCTAATTCCAACAAGTTTGCCCTTTTAATTTGTTAAGGTTTTCAATGTGGTCCAAAAGCATACACATCTATCACATTGGCTAACAAAATTATCAAAAAGTGAACACATTTACCTTTCACCATGGTCTGGTTCTATATTCCCGTCACATTAGTTTTTGCGGCTTGGTGAAATTAGGGGATGAAAATTCAGTTTTTCATCAAACAATGTGGAGGAAATGAAAATTTAGATCATACCAAAATATGTTACCAAGCTATGAGGGTGATTTTGTTAAGACAGAAGTATAGAAACCAAATGCAATTCGGCCTAAAGTATCAGAACCAATAATGTATCTATTCTTGTTCTTGTCAGTAATATGAAAGATTTCTGTAAGGCTTGACATGAAAACAAGATTTTCTGAATTTAAGAATCATCAAAAGAGTAGCAAATTACCATTTTAGAAACCTTCTTCCAGAAATGGGGTGTCGGCTTTGCTACCAAATAAGCTCTCTGCAAGGCTAATTCTTGTTCCTTTGTCCATCCATGTACAACCCCAATAACTTCTTCATCTCTCTTTCTCTTCCTCCTAATCTTAACTTCTTTATTTCCACCATCTAACTCTTGCATTTTCCTTTCTCTACCTTCCGAACTAATCACTTCACCACCACCTGAACTCCTCCAAGTCACCTTTTTGCTCTTCTTCGGAACTCCTTCGGGTGAATTAACAGAGGCTCCATCTTTTCCAACACCTGAGAATTCCTCTTTATCCAAGAAACTAGTTGTTCTACTTTTAGATCTAGTATTGGTTGCCTTATTCGTGCGTACATCAACAACAGGTTGCTCAATACAAAACCTCAGAGATTTTCTTCCACATTTTCTTGACCCGGAACTCAAATCCGTGCAATTACTCGACCCATTATCAAATTTGATCAATTTATTCGAGACTTTCTGTGGGAAATCCTTACCAGCATCAACGACGACGCGCTGCCGATTCAAAATCCTTGAAGAACGTCTGAGACTCCGAAACTGCTCAACCCCAGTGTTCAATCTCGGAGATTTTCTGGTCCCATGAGCTTTACTCGATTTCTTAGAGTTGAGTGAAGGACTCGAAGAGCGAACAACAGATCTGCTTTTTCCTTCGGACTTGGGGGTTCTCGGGGTTTTGGATTCTGAAGCGCTCTTTTCACGGTGGACAAGCGTCTGAGACTTCCAGAGAGTCTTGGGGGGTTTCTCTGGTTCTAGAGTGTTCTTGGGTTGAAGAAATCTTGGAGACCTTCGGAGAGTTATGTTTTGTTGAGGTGTGTTGACTATGGAGTCTCTCTCGGGCATTTTCGCGAACACTTGGTGGTCTTTCTTTTCATATAGAGAGTTTTTGAGAGGGAAAAGAATATGGAATTCAAAAGTTTAAACTGCTAAGTGGGCTTCTCTGTAAGTCCACACATTATAAGACACAACGGTGGGCCGCAAAACAGAAATTAATAAAACCAATTCTAAACCCAAATTGACCGGTTTGTTTTTTAATGATGATTTGGTTTTCTTTGATAAAAGTTATTTTTGGTTTCTCGAGTGGGCCGAATTACCTCTCCACATGGGAAATATTTTTGTTCACCACTTTAACCTAAAGTATATTCTTACTATTCTTCTTATACTTGACATGTGTCTAAATTCATAATCATGGTTAACTTTTTACTTTGTATTTATGAAACCATAGTTATGCATATGGACACGTGTCAAGTGTTGAGAATGGTAGTGACACATTGGATTGAAGCGGTGGGGCACGTGCTCAAAACGTAATGGAATTGAGACGTGTCTTGAAATTGCTCTAAACAGAAAACTATAAGGATAAAATTGACACAATTGAAACTACAAGGACCAAAATGATGAAACTGGCAAACTATATAGATTAAAAAAATTAACTTTTTACCATAAAAAAAATTGTTACCATATGTGCCTATCACAACTTAGACTTCAGAGAAAACCAAAAACAAAAATCGAAGTCAAAATGAGCTCCTTAAACTATAAAATAGTTTCCTAGCCAAAAAAAAACAACAACTATAAACATATTTGCAAATAAAGAAAAGAACTATAAATATATAAATATATATATATATCTAGTCAGTCCCCTTTTATTAAGGGATCCCTCAAATAATTTTATTTGAGGGACGCCCTTTAGGATACCCTACAATTTTTTTTCCAATGATCCAAACCGTATATTTTTTAGGTCTTCATTCATAGATCATCCTTACAAAAAATTAGACAAATCGGAAATCGTTTCGACATCCAATTGTGTCTTACAAAATCAATGAACACAGTGCTTCAAGAAAGTACTAACTCAATTGAGTGGTCAAATGATATCGAATTCAAGTGATTTTTTGTAGAGATGATCTTTGAATGAGTATCTACAAAATAGACGGTTTGGATTAGTGAAATACAATCCATAGTGGGGCCTACAAGAGATGTCCCTCAAATAAGCTTATTTGAGGGATCCCTCAATGGAAGCTCTCTGTATATCTAGTCTCTACAACAAGCCAAGCGTAAGGTCTAATATGGATTGCTTCTCTTTGTTGAATTAATAAAAGTTTATTCTGAATACACCATGAAACGGGAGGTAGAAAACAAAACAAAGGCCCAAGATTCTAAGCTGAAGAAAAGAAAGCAAAACAAATGCCTACAAAGATATACAATTATGTACTACATGTACAAGTCTTAGAATCTTCATGTCAAGTAGAGACACAGAAGAAGGAAAAATATACAGAATAAACCCCCAACCAAACAAGAATTGAAATGAAAAATAAAGTAGAGGGTGTGTGTTTTGGAGCAGGTATCCCACTCATGCATCTTGATAAATTCTTAGTAAAATATTTGATAGGACACCTATCTAACTACGTATGTGATTGGCTGGGCAGACCCATGGAACCTTAAAATCTAAATCTAAATGCCCATTAAAACACAAGATATAGAAAAAAAAGATATCCATTTCAGATTGGCTCCCACAAGCCACTAGAAAGGAAAGAAAATTAAAGCAAATGCTCAAAATTCATGCTTGTTATGACTTAAACCTAATTTGCTTTCTACATGGATTTCCACTATTAGTATTGCTACTAATCCTGGGACAAACCCACTGGATGGAATTTTTTGTGCGCCTGTAGCACCCCCACTACCTACCATCAACATCAGCTATTACTGAATTAGGTTAGAGCTTCAAGGAGCAAAGACCTAAAACCTTCCCAAATGGTAATGTTCTTTGCCCTTTTTTGTGATGTAGTGTTGCCCTAATGAGGTTTATTGTTTCAAATCCAATTATCAACCTTGCCGAAAAATGTCAACTTTATTTAGTTTGAAATGATTATCCATAGTGAAAAGGGAAATTCTAAATGATTGTTAACTGATCATTTTTGCCAATCTCATTTTATGTTTTAACGTACATCAACAATTGACAAATTACCTATGCGTGTGTAAACTATTGAAAATAAATCTCTTTGTGGAAGCCAATGTTGTTTGATTCCTTAGCTACAAACTTAATTAGGGTTTGATGCTAATTGAAGTTTTGTGGGGGGGACAAAGCTTTTGATGCCAATTGATTTTTCTTATATTGATAAATATTTTTAACATGGGCCATGGCTTTGTGCTCCTTTATTTATTTTTATTTTTTTGGTTAGAATTTGTGCTCCTTTATTAAAATGTTAAAAAACACATATACTAGTGTCCATATCCCATTCCGGCTACAAATACTGTGGGCATGAGATTAAAAATGTTATCTTCTTTCAATTGCTAGATCTTAGTTAAGAAAGGCAAGTAGTATTTTGGTGCAGAAACAAAGTGTAAACCTCGATAATATTTCTCACACATATTGCATTTAATCTCAACTTTTTTCAAGGATATTCTAAGTTTGTATATAATAATTAAAATGCATATTACCTTGTCTTGTTTATTTTGTCATAGCGTCGACGGTACAAGGGAGAATTTATTGAAAGATTAAAGAATCATTCCACCTAATCTTTAATCATGACATTCGGAATGAAATCATTAGCATTTCTAACCACACAAAATAATACTCATGACCTATATATCTCATTCCCTCTATTTCTCTATCTAATGACTGAGGTCAGGTTTCCATTAAAATGGAACTAATTTTACATATAAATAATTAATCTACAAAAAAATAAGTTTGTGCAAGAAACATGATGCAATTTTTAATTAATTCTAATGATGTACTGCCCAAGCAATTTCTTTATTCATGCAGATCTTTCCATGAAAGATTCTTGATTCTTGTTTGACATATATATATACACTAGTGATCAGGATCCAAGAATATATATATATCAACCATTCTCTTCTGTTTCTTTTTATTTTTCCGTCAATTATGCTCACCCCCGGCATTATTAAAGCAGTGATCAGGACAAGAAAACATTAATCAAACATTTAATTATAATTAAGAGGATGTCTCATGGGTAAGAACAAAAATGCACGTTACATCACCAGGGCACTGTTGAGAGATAAGAGACTACCACTAGGGATTCCACTAACAATTGTCCCTCAAAAGCTTCTGTGTGACTGTGTCCCCATGTGATTTTAGTGCAATTTGGGACCCAAATGCATAGCTTGCTTATCATCCCCTTACGTTTACAAATCCTACTTTTCACTTAATTTTCTTTGAAAAGAATTAGCTGCTGGCTGCTTCTGGGGGAGGGGGGGCATCTATTTCATGCTCTATAATGTAGTTGGTATTTGGACGACAGATTTGAAATGAGGTGTTTTAAGAAAAATTCAGTTGGGGCAGTAGGGGGTAACCCAAACTTGTAATTCGTATACCAAACTTTAAAATTGGATAAAGTCACTTGGATCATCATGGCGTTTACTTAAAAAAGTCTACTAACTAACTACCATGTAAAATGTGTTGTTTCAAGGTGGATTTTGATCCACGGGATCAGTATGATTTCACCATAATCCAAGTGGGGTTTCTTCAAAAATAAAAAATAACTAGTCAAATCCCGTTATTCATCTTTAGCTGCCAAGTGAATTGAAATTTCTGTAAGAATATATAATTTTAGCGAACGTTGTTATTGCACTAAACCACATCTAAGCACACTACATGACATAAAAATATGGCTTATTTACCGTTTCACTCCCTAAAATGAACGTTCAGTCTCACTTTATCTCGTTAAACTGAAATTTTCTCACTTAACCCCCTAAATTTCTAAAAATTGCTGAAATGTTCTCACTTTACCATTTCCGTCCATTTCCATCCACAAAACCGTTCAGTATGTTGACGTGACATGGACATTCTAGTAATTTCATATGTGATAGAGTTGGGTTTAGGATGGGAGAGGAGAGGGGCAAAGAGACAAAGGGAGAGAAGAGAGAAGATAAGGAACTAAAATTAATAGAATGCCCATGTCACGTCAGCATACTTAACAATTTTGTGAATGGAAATGGAAGGAAGTGATAAAGTGAGAAAATTTCAGTTTAAGAGGGTAAAGTAAGACTGAAGTCCGTTTCTGGTGGACTGTCATACCAATTTTCGGCTTGTACAATTAATTAACATATCGTAAACTAACAAATAATGTGATGAATCAATATGAACAACTTCTATGAGCACAAAAATATTATGTACAACAACAGAAAGCGAGACTTGAGTTTGCGATAAAAAAGGTGAGTCATTAACATTTCAAAAATATAGAAAAGAGTGGGAAAATGTGATTTTTCATATATACGGTAAGACAAGAGTGGAAAGATATTTGTTTGGGCCTCCTAACCCCTATGCCCTAGGAATGAGAACGTGGGTGCATATATATCATAGCTTGTGTAAAGACTAAAGAATAGTGCCCACTTGCTTGTTTGTGATTGCAATTTTGCAATGAATTGGATCATCAAAATGGCACTGTTGGTGAAAAGATCAATAGAACTGGAAAAGTGATGTGTACTCTGGCAACAACAACATCAAGGGGAGGAGAGTACAAAGTTTCAGTACAGAGAGGAAAAAAAAGGTCTTGAGATCGTCATGGATATATTTGAAACTTTGAAACACTATGGTCCATGGAACAGTGAAATTAGGACATGAAAATGAAGGCTGATCATTGATCAATGTGGGGCCGATCGGAATTTAGTGGTTGAAAGAACGTTGGATAGTCTTTGTTGGCCATCATGTTCTTTTGGGTCTTGGGTCACTTTCCATGACGTCAAATTAATCGGCTAATTAAAGTGCTTGAATTTCCTTGAAACTTCTCCCTTAGTGTTGCATGTCATATCATATTATTTGTTTCCCCATTTCAGATTTATTTTGGTTGTGAGGTTTATTCTTTAAATAGTAAAACCACCATCGTGATTCATGCAATGAAATTATTGACTAAGAAAATTCTTACACTTAATCTCATTAACATAAACGCGTCTCATTTACATGAGTCTGCTCACCGTTATTAGAGAGGTGTTACTAAAGTGTAGGTCATATGGTAACGCTAAATCTAAATATAAATGCACACACAAATTGTTGTTGTTGTGATTCTTCAACGTAGTACTAACCAAAAAATAAGTTATTGTTTCCGTGCGGTACAATGAATTAGACATTTGTGCACAAAAGTGTGAAATTCACCATAAAAAGAAGAGTCATGTGCATTATTGCGTTTCGGGACACAATTTCTTCTTGATGAAGCCATTGACTAATGCGCAAACAGTGAATATTGCAAATTCCAAGTAACTTACCTAGAATATTCCCGTGTTTTAAGTGTCACAATGGGACATTTATGTTCCACATTGCATTCCACACCTAATTAATTTTGACAAAGAAGGAAACTAGGGACAGGAGGACCATACGAATTTGATGAGAGAGTGGTCGTTTTGTGTGTCACTATAATCTGTCGTGCACATAACTGTGTGCTTGTTTAGTTGTTTAATTAGGTTATGCTGCTGGTATTGGTGCTTTTTGGTCTTGAATTGATTGGGTACTTTTGCAATTGTGCAAATGATGTGCACTTTTCGGCTTAGTAGTGGGTCTTTTTGGGGACATTTACTGTTAGGGCATAAGCACATCAGCACATGTTCTGACCATAAAATTGAGTGACTTAAGGGTAAACAATTATTGTTTGGCAAAAAAAAGGAGGGTAAACTATTATTGTTGACCACTAAAATAGATTTACTGTTTGGAAAGAACAATACTCAATCGTTTGAAAGATTTGGTATACTTGAGAGCCATCATTAGCATGGGAAATATGTCTTGACATTATATTTAACCATCACATGCTCGCAATAAGAAAGGAAACCTTTTTTCATCTACCTAAATTATATTAGAGAGTTAAGGCTTAATTGCTACAGTGCCCTCTGAAACATTAGTTAATTCTCACAATACCCCCTTAAAGTTAAAGTGACTCACTTTGTCCCATTGACCGATGTTTTATGTTTCACTTTGCCCCTCATCATCAAGTTTGTTAAAAATTCTGTTAAGAATACTGCGTGGCACTAATAGGACCCACTATTTTGCTAAACTAAATGCCATGTGTGAAGAAAAAAAATTAAAAAATTCATTCCTTTTTAAAATAACAAATACAAAATGAAAAAAATTAATAATAAATAACAAAAATCAATTCCTTTTTAACTCTCGTGCCATCCCTTTCCCACCATAACCACCATCTAATAAGCCATTGCCCTTTGTGCTTTAATTATGTGTCCCCCGTTCCTCCATGCCGTCAATTTAGTCATTAAGACTGTTAACTTAATGACGTGGCATGTACTCTTTTAATAATTTTAGCATTTAAGAGTTTTAACATTTAAATTAAATATAAGTAATAGTTAAAAATATATTTAATTAAATATAAAAAACAATTAAAAATAGTTTTAATTTCTTTTTACTTTTTAGAATCCAAACAATTCTTAGTTTTATAAATTAGTTACAAATCAATAAACAAAATAAAATAACATTACAACTAATTTTTTTTTTTTTTTTTTTTTTTTACAACTCCTCTTCTCCCAACGACCCGACCTCTCTACCCAGACACCTCCGCCACTCTCAACCTACCACCCACAACCCTCCATCCTCTCTCTCTCTCTCTCTCTCTGGCCCCAACCCTCTTCGCCAACACAACTCAGCACCCTCACCCCAAACCCCAACCAAATCTCGACTTGATCTCCTCCAACTACAACAAATCATTCCTTCGACCCCATTAGCTCTGGACTTGAGTTCGACCTTAGTAAGTCCTTCAACCATATCTGAACTTATCTCTTTGATTAGTGAGTTGGGGAGGGGTTGCACAGGTGGAGAGGTAGACGGGGGAAAGGTGGTTGTGGCGGGTTGCAGGGCCGTCCTTGAGATTTTGAAAGCCCGATGTGAAACTTAAATTGGGGCCTCACATAATTTAATATGAAAATATTAAAAATAAAAATTTGCCATAACTTAATGTCATAAACAAATTTTTTATAACTAAAAGTCACCATCAATAAATATGTAATGACAATCAGAAATCAAATTCATAAAAATTTAAATGTTTCTATTTGATAAAGTTAAATGTTTGGTACGAAAATAAGCTCCTTGTGCCCCAATAAGGTGTCTTGTTGCCTCCAATAAACAATATGTGTTTAATAGGAAAAAAAAATTGGCAATCACAAATTAAAGAGTAGTTGCACACAAATGTCATTAACAAATTAGATTATATTGCATTAAACACAAAAGCAACAACAAAAACATATCTAACTATCCAAAAATCATTCACATTGTATTTGCTGTCTTTATTTGAAGAATAAAACTACTACGAGAGCTTTTTCCCCAAAAGAAAAAAAAACACAGCCAGTACAATACTAATGTCTGAAAATTGATCTTCTTGAATTTTTAGAAGAGAAATCATCAATCAAATGTTCATAATCAAGTTTTTCTAGAAGTTCACTTTCAATTGAAATCAAAGCTAGTCCGTTTAATCTTTTTTGAGACATAGTTGATTGCAAGTATGATTTCAACATCATCTTGTTGTTGTTCATTGGAAATATTTTCATCAATTGTAGCATGTGATTCTTTAACAATGAATCTATCAAGAGCTCCTCTTTGAGATTGAGTCAATTCCTTGATTTTTCTTTTTCTAAGTCATTTTGTATATCCAGAAACCTATTTTCTAGCAAGTGGCATGCTTAGATTACAAAGAAAAATTTCAAAACCCTATAACCTGGAAGAAAACCCCAACAAGAAATAGATAAATATTTCTAAAAACTATATTATCATATAACCAATCATCAACATGATAATAATTAATAAAATAAGTCATGTAATATATAGAATAGATTGAAATTTAGATACATACCTTAATTTGAATTGAGATTTGAATCTGACTATTTGATTTTGAGTGGTCTTTATGAATATAAGAATTATGGTTTTCTCTTTAGGGGTTATATATACTCTTTCTGTGGTTAGCTTCGATGTTTCCTTTTTTTTTATAAAAAAAAATATATATTTATTAAAGGCTTTCAGTTTTTTTTTATGTTTTTTTTATATAATAATTATGTAAAGTTTGTTGTTATAATGCAAAAATAATGTGAAAAGGCCCAAATAGATTGACTTCAATGAGCATCAAACTCTGGCGCTTCTATAGTGTGGATATGCGCTGGAGACAACTCCACCAGACACGCTCTTGTGCAAATATTTAGTACACTATACTATATATACAATTTTTATAATATTAATATATATAATATAAAGAATTTTTTTTCGATGGCCCTCAAGAATCGGGGACCCTATGCGGTGGCACCACTTGCACCACCCCAGGACCGCCCCTGACGAGTGGTTGGGGAGAGGGGGTGGAGGGTGGAGAAGGGGAAGAGGGAGGAGGGGCTGCTGGGTTTTTTTGGTAAGTATTTTTATAAAAAAACTATTGCAGAAAAAATTAATTAATTATAATATTTTATTTGAATTTAGACAAAAAATTATTTTCTTAAAATTACTAAAATGTTCTTGCCACGTCATTAAGTTAACAGTTTTATTGACAAAATCGACATAATGGGGGAACGGATGACGCTAAACTAAAGCTCGGGGGTCATAATAACCCAGTTTGAGTTGCAAGGGGCAAAGTGAGATTTTCGGTAAAGCACAGAAAGCACATCTATAATTAAGTCTAAAAAGAGAATATAGGATTTTTGGTTAATATAATTACTTTGCTACCCTCCCAGTGCAGAAGTGGTTTGTTTTTTTGTCTCGAAATTAGTGCATTGAAAACTCACAAAGGACAAGGAATACGTAACTTGAACAAAACGCACCAAAGCAGATACATAGAGGGGGAGAATCCACCAGAACCAAAACCCGAACTAGCTATCAAACCCAAAAAAAAACACAAAAACAAAAAAAAGGACCCGGGCTAGCTAAAGGATTCTCATGGAGTTGGCTTTTAAAGGGAACACCAAATGGCAATGAATGTTCGAATTGGCAATTTGGCACCATATTATTGCACCGAATTGTTCAAATTTGGATTACAATTAATTATGAAAAAAGGCAAACAACATTTACTTTTAAAAATGTAATTATATTCCTAATCCTTGTAGAAAATGTTCACCTAGAAAGTCCCAGAAAAAGTAACAAAACCACTCAAATTAAACACTTTCACCAAAACATGGTCCTAGACTAAGAGTGGTGATCATATAGCCTGCTCTAAATGTCTAGCTCTGTCTCATAATAAGTGAACTAAAATTTAATTGAATGGTAAATTATATATTTATTATGTACACACGAAAATTGTCATCAAATTGCTAATACAAAGGCACAGGAAAGCGAGGTGGCTTTAGCTGCTTTTGCACCTTCACAACAATCTTCTCTTCTCTTGGAGGCTCTCGGGGGCATGGCAATGCCATGAACTTTGGAATTTGATCCCCAGGCATTATCACAGGCAAGCTCTGCCTCTGCTCCTGCTTTAAATCCTAAGAAAAACACACAGTCCATTAATTTCTTCAATATAAAGAACAGGGTAAATGTTTTTAGATATCCGACATGTTATGTTACGGACGAGAACTCTAAACTTAAATCGTAGTTGAAATTGACAATTTGATAACATAACATGATAAAATATGCATGGTAACTGTAAAATGAATGAATTTACAGTTTTCTGCAATTACCATGTGAGGAGGCTTAGATTTGGAGGGTGATTGTGGCTCAGCATCGGCCTCGGGGTCTGCGTCTTGGGTGAAAGATCTGCGGAGTGATCTGAGCTTGTCCCAGTGGTAGCAGCAGGAGAAGATTCCGCTGAGGCTGAAGATGATGATCAAGAGGAGTGCTGTGCCAAGAGGGAAGCCCAAGGACGGCCGAGATGCATCCACGTGGGGTGGCGAAAAATCCTGGCTCTCCATCACTTGAATCTGAGGCTGCTGCTGCTGACAAAGACGACGGTGGTGATGGTCCTCTTCCTTCACTCATGTGGTGAGGAGGACTCAGAGGAGCCAGAGTTTTTTTTTGGGGTTGAGGAAATGGGATTCTGGGAATTTAAAAGAGATGGGTTTGGGTTTTTGGGGTGTCTGGAAATGGGAATTTATAAAAATGAGTAAGTAGGAGGGTGGGGGGAGAGAGAGAGTACGTGTAAAGGATACACTCAAATGTCCAGGCCATGGTACGGAATGAGAGTGGGGTCTACTTGCTTGGTGCTGAGCATAATGAATTAGACTTTGGACCTTAGTTTGTTATGCTTTTGATTGTTTCCTTGGCAATAAAGAAACAAAATGATAGAAAAAACAAAAGAAGATAACATTAAAAATAGTTGGGAAATTTTTGGATCTAAATGTGAAAGCAATTTTAATGGAATTAGAAAGATGCCCTTGAGCTGGCTGCCTTGATGCTTACTATTTGAAGGAAACCATTCATCTTTTTGTTCATGTATGGATGGCTCTGGTGCATGCTATTGTGTCCAAAGAAGAATTATTGTATTCCCAAAACCCTCATTTTAATATGTTCCCCAAGAACTTGTTAATCAATTAGCATGTGTAAATCATTACTGGGCAACCACCTGTTTTCTAATAATAGACCCCTTTAATCATTCAATCATATGCATGCATGAAGTCAGTGAGTGTTATGCGTAGAACATAGGGGAAAATCGAACACAAAACGTCAAGTACAAGTACATGAACCTTTAACCGCTTGGATTTAGTGCAAGTCTCAATTAAAAGAACAAATGTAATTAACATTTCTTTTTGTGGTAGGTGCTATATATGATGAAGGGGAGCCCATTTTGTGCAGTGCTGCTTATCCCTTACCATGGGGGTGGAGCCGTAGTCCTTTGCTTTCCTCCTCTTTTTGGCTAAAATGGTAGACACCTAAGAAATATGAGCTTTTCTGAGCAAAAGCAGCCGTGTAGCTAGTTAGGTGAGTTTTTCCAATTATGAGACTGATATAACTTTTTCCATCCAAAGCTACATCCCCAACGTGTCAACCAAAACTTGGATAAAGAAAAATTTGGCACTATTTTTATTTCAAATTTTCATGGAATCTAGAGAAAAAGTAAAAGAATGATCGATGGGATCAAGATTTCATGGATTCTGCAAAAAAGTATTCAAATTTTTTTAATGTTTTGCCTTGGACTATGGGGCACTTCCATTTGAGTGTTTTTGAAGAGATGGCTACGGTTGCTAACAAATTAATTAAAGAAATATGGACCCAAAGAGCAAGCCAAAAACCGACCATACCATGTGGTTGCTAATACAACCAAAGTCTTGTTTCAGCGACCTTAAAAGAACGTGATCAAGCACAACAACATCAACATGGTTGCTGCTGCTATCTTAGAAGATATGCCGTGTGGAACTCAAATTTTGAAAATACTTGGCGAAGACTTGACTTGTTTTTTTTTAACTTGTAAAGAAACTCCAATTTCCCTTAGACAAAGACTAGCAAAATCCTTTCGTACTGTTTTCTTTTCACGATGTGGACTTGTTCTACGAATGAAGCTAAAAAGATTGACCCGATTGATTGAGTTTTGTGTGTTTCACCTTCACTTCACTGACATGCTCTTCACGCCCAGTGGAAAAAAAAACTGAGAAGAGGAAAAGTAACAATTGAACTCTTGCAATTCCCCAAAGAAAATAGAGCCTCTCATAATAGTGTATAAGATATCGGTCATATTCATTCATCACTGACTATCAATTGATTTCGAGTTAGATGCGTTAATTCTATACTTAGAAAGAAAAAAAATTAAGGAGAAACCCTAAAAAGACAAAACAATATCAGCAACTAGGCTGTTAGTGCTTATTGGAGCCGAGTGAAATATGGCTCTGCCTTTTCTTGTCCAATGTGCCAGTCCTTAGGTACACTCCAAAGATTATGAAGAGCTCTGTGCTAATTGAGGTCATATATGTATGTCATTTTCATATGCTTTCGGCCTTTTATCCACAGAGATCTGCAAGAACCAACGGTGCTGGGTTGCTTCCCAAGAAGGGGTGCCTAACGCTAAACAGTCTCCTTTCTGTTGGAGGAGCATTGATGAGTCCACACCAAGGCAACTTCTTGGTAGCTTCATTTTTGGTCTTACCTTGTTTGACATTTCAAGAAAATTATACCCAACCAAGCAAACATGATAGCCTATCTCTTGTGAAAGGAGCTTATAGCTTAGGTCGTTAAAAACAATTATTCATACACGTTTAAGCTTTGTTTGGTGACCCGATTTGGATTGGATTGGAGTTAAGTCCAAACTAGTCTTTACAATATGTTGAATTGTTATCCATTTTAACAAATACAGACTAAGCACACCAAACGACGTTTAAAACTCTTATCTATTTTAATTGATATGGTCTATTCCAGTCCACTGTATGGATGGCAATTTCCTATTAAGTAATAGGTCAGTTTTTACTTTTTCTATCTTGAAAAGTATTCTATTAACTTTGTAATTTGTTGCACAGAAAGCCTTTGAAGATGGAGCCCATCCACAAAGAAGGCTTCAAATTGAGATATGAACCCAACCAAAACCCAAGTTCAACTCATATCAAGCCCAATCAGGAATTGGGTCCTGTCTATTGATTTTCAACTATCTCCATCAAGATTCAAAGATGCAACACTCAGATTTACTGGACCCAAATAGTAAAATAAGCCGGGAGGTTTTCCTTGTTTACTCTTCTAGAAAGGAAACAAAAAAAAAGTTTTATTGTAGGTAGGAACTTTCAAATCTAAGCCAGGGGCATTGGGCTTCGAGGTGGGGGGAAATGGGCTTTGATTGGGCTTGGGGATTTAAGCCTAGAATCTTACAGAAAAGCTATAATGAGGGCTTAAAGTGAGGAGGTTATTTGAGGAAGTCAAATCTCACCATCAACAAATGTAAAGAAATCATGGGACTTAAATATTTTAAATGTTTTGACGGTCGGATCGGTCTCCTCAAATAACCTCCTCACTTTAACTCTTCATTGTAGAAGCTCCCAGAATCTTAAGTGGGAATTTTCTTTCATTGGGATCTAACTTGGGCTAGTGTGGAAAATTGGGCTTGGATGAATGGGTGGAGTGACTTGGGCTACAACTCATAATACCCTAATACGACGGTGTTATGAACAGTAAACTCACACATCATCCGATTGATTTCCAATTAACTCTATGAGCCTTGGTTTAACCGTTGCACGAATTGTGGAGTCGATTTGTGTGATACGGGTTTTGTCTTCTTTCCTCTACGACGTGCATCAACTTCGAGGTTACTCTAGGCCACAGAGTATGATGGGGAAGATGTGTCAATACCAAACACAAGATGACATTACTCAATTAATCAAGTATTTGAATCTCATATGACACCAAAAACATGCAATGTCTAATCTCATACGACACCAAAAACTTTGTCTAATCTGAAGCGAGAATTCAACCCAATCAAAATCTCGGGCATTAAATTTGGTTTTGCCAGGGAACTCATCACTAGGAAAATGCAGGCCAGGCCAGGCCAGGCCAGGCGGGCTTCAAGCAACCAACATGCTTTTGTCTTTGTCAACAATGACACTGCCCCATGTTTCTTAATGAACCCACCACCCACCACCCTACATCTATATTCTGTATACTAGCTAGACTTCCCATTAGTAGCTAGCTACATAAATTACCATTAATAGTAATATTATTTTTCAAAAATAAATAAATAAATAGTAGATGAATGTGACGTGGGGGATGATGTCAGGGTGATGATGGATAACATTGTCGCATGCACCAAACATGAATGCTTGTGCCCAAGCGTGCAAGACCGCTACTGCCAGTTTCATCATGATGCTCTCGTTCGTTTAGACCAGACCAAACCAAACTATAACCCCAAATATTTTTTGTTTTTTGTTTTTATTTTCATTTAGACATTTATAATAATAATAATAATAATAATTGATTATTAAAAGGGTAATTGTGGAAAAAAGAAAATGATGGAGGAGGGAGGTTAGATGTCCTGCCCACCACCCGGCAAACAGACGTCAACTGCCGCTTTCTTGTCCCCCAATCACACTCCCAACCCCTGTTTTTCTGTGTCCCCCTCCCTACTCTCTCTTCCCATTAATTGTCTCTTGCGTCACCGTCTCACCTACTCCATCCATGCGCTTTCTGATTTTTTCCCCATTTTGTCCCTACTAATTTGGTAAAATCTCAACCAAATCCACCGTTTTATATTGATTTCTTCAAGCAACCATTTAATATTTAGATTAAATAGCAATGCAGGTTGCCAAAACCAAGGACATAAATCATACAAAACTAGTTAATAATTGATATCTGGTTTGATTATCAAATCGCATTCCTGGTTTAATGCCTTGGTTTACTCTTCTGAATACGAAAGACTTGTCGCCACTTACTTATGTTTTGCTTTATCTCTTTAAATTAATTGTCTATGTAATAATGTTAGATCAATTACATAATATGCAACATTAATTTTTAGTTTATTTTCACTAAACAAACTTTTTAATTTTTCAAATAATTCAGACATCAATTTTTTTTTTCTTTACAGATTCAGACATCAATTAAAACCTTAGAGTCACCTTCAATAAATTAAATTTTTATAATTTATCAAATGGCTAGAGACAACATCTTCGGATTTAGGGTTTAGGGGGGAGGAAGCCGTTTTCACTTTGAAAAACACTCTTTCTCCCAAAAAACACTCATAAAGCCATTTTCACTTTGAGAGGGGGAGGAAGCCATTGTTCTTCCTTCCTTCACCTCTTTCCCCATTTTCAGAGACGACAAATGGTTTTCCCTATTTATATTCGTTTTGTTATGATTTTCATCTAACCATTACAGGCGGCTGCATTTCGACGTCGGATCTCCATCACCATCTTTTTTGCGGTTTCTTTATATTTGAAATAAGTTGCATAGACTCTTTCGATTTTTTTGTGTAGTTTTCATCTCTCCTTTTGTAAGAGCTTTTTACCTATCTTTTGTGAGAGCTTTTCATTTCTCCTTTGTGAGAGTTTTATTTGTATTGTTATGGCTTGATTTTTTCTAGCTTTATATCTTTTTGATTATTCTAAGTTTGCAATCTTAGTTGGGATGCCTATGCCAGAGTTTTTTCGATCCTGTGTGATTGTTAGTGAAGGCACACCAAATTGTCTTAATTTTGATGTTAGACCACTTCGTTATTTTAATTGTCTTTTTATGGCTAATTTGTATTTGCCCTTTATGACTAGTGACTTATTTGGCTGAATTATGAATGCAATTAAAGAATTCACCCAAAAAAAAAAGACAACATCTTCTGCGAGCTTGGCTTGGTTAGACTTTTGACTAGTGTAGGAAAAGGTTGTGGACGAATAGGGTTATTAAAGGTAAAAGCTAGAGGGATGCGGTGAGAGTCTGTGGTGCATGAGTCAACGTTTACAGTGGCTTGTGGTCAGTGATGCTCGAGGTGGTAGGGCTTAAGAGGTGTGAAAATGGATAAATTATAAGGGAGGGGGATTTCAAACACACACACACACACACACATACTATGATGTCGTGGGGATTCAAACTTGAGACATGTGATTTGCAAGTCAATATCCTTTTTCTACTAGACTAGACCCCATTGACAATGTTAAATCAATTATATAGTATTCAACATTAATTTTTAGTTTATTTCCATTGCCTTTTACTTTATTAAATGTTATTTTCTTTTAATTTATTTTGCAGGACTACAAGAACTAAAATACGAGTTGTTGGGCTAATATATAACTCATGGATAAGTTCAACCTCATTTACCCTTAAATTGAAAATGTACAAAAATGTTGGAAATAACTAAAGGTATGACATATGGTCAAGTTGAAGGACTATATTAACTAAAATTGAGTTGGGAGATTAAGTCATGTTGTACGGACACTCCATTAAGCCCAAGTGTTGGACATTTGGACACTCCTTGGACATCCACGTTCAACAGTTAATGTTGTGCCCACGGTCAAGACACTCCTCATACATGGTCAAGACACTCACGGGACACAAGTCAACTCATACTCAGGGTCAACTAATGTGTTAATTCAAATATAATTCATATAAATTTAATAAAATATATTTGAAAGTATTGAAAAACTTGAATTTCACTATATAGTATTTTGAAATTGGAGTATGAACATCAATATTTTGTTTATATATATATATAGATAAATATATATATAAGTATTATTATAATTTATTTTTTAATTGTTGTGTCCTAATTTTTTGAGATTTGTCGTTTTCCCCGTGTCCCTATATCATATATTCGTATCCGTATCCATGCAACATGTATACCTTATTATAGTCGAGGAAATGAGATTTTTATAAATAAATAAAAAGAGCAATTGGATAAAATAATTGAACGAAGACAGAAAAAGCCTTATAATATTTTGACACGAGCAATAACGAAACGGGTCGTTAAAGCCCTTGTAACCAAACCGTCTATGCCCCAAAATTCTATTTGTTTGCTCATTTCCGAAACTAAAAAGAGCAGAAAGAAAATAGTATAAAGTTCTCACTTGAACCAAGAATTGACGGCTCAGATTCATTAAATTTAGTCAATCTCAGCCTTCAATCCTCCCATTCCTGTCCCAGATCGGCGCCGTGCAAAACCAGCCGGTCCGTATTTCGCAGACAAAGCACATATCAAAATAATAATAAAAGCCAACCTTTTATCCGTATTTTCGGTTCTGCCCCTACTTGCTTTTTTACCTTTTCAAAAGAAAAAACAAATCACTATTGTGAGCTTCGAGTTCCTCGGCGAGCTCAGCCTAAAAAATAAAGCTTTTGTTGCTTTCTGCTTAATGGAAGGGTCTTGAGCTCTCTCTCTCTCTCTGCTCTGCTTTCTTTGCATTTTCTTTGAGATTTCAGAAAAGGGTTCGTCGGATTTCTCTTCTTTGCCTGATCCACACAAGTTCCTCAGGTACTAGCTACGAATATTCCTTCTTTTTTATTTTTTGTTTTCATGCTTAAAAGCTTCTTTTATACTCTTATTACTTGTATGTAATTTGGTATATGGTTCAAGCTAAGCTTTTTTAGCTTGTTTGAATTCTGGGTCTTTGTGTTCTGAGATCTTGATACAGTCTAAGTTTGAGTTCGTTCTGGAAATTAGTCTTCTTTGATTTCTCTGTAATTACACCTTTCTGGGTTGGTTTTTGTTTTTGGGTTTTTATATTTTAACTTCTGCATTTCACTGTTCATTATTTCAGGTCAAGGTCTCGAGCATTTTCAGTTTACTCCCCCTTTTTCTTTGGACTTTTTAAGCTTGTAGTGGATCTTGCAATTTTCTCTGTTTATATAGACAGAAATAATGTTTTACTTTTTTCCGTTGTCTGTTTGGTTTCGTAGAAAAATTGGGGAAATGAGAGAAAAGGGGTTACAAGTTTTTAAGAAAAGGTAAAGCTTAACTCATGCTGACAAATGCTACAAAACCGAGTTGACCTTTTTCCTATTAAAGGAAGTAGAAAAACCCGGTTCTTCTTTTCAGTTTGTTTTTATTGTGCATTTGTTTTGGCTTTGGATGGAGCATTGAAATTTTATTACAGCTAGTTTCTTATAAGGTTCTGAAATTGACGTTCTGGAGCTTACTACTTGTGTTGTTACAATCTTTCATTGGTGGTTAATTTACTTTTCCATTTTTGGTATGATCTTTTGTATAAGTTTCTTCTTGATGTTCTTTTGTATAAGTTTCTTCTTGATGTTCTTTTGTATAAGTTTCTTCTTGGTTCATTTCTATGTTTTCTTTTTTGGGCGTTAGAAAACAATACTCTTGAATCTTGATTTCTATGTTTTCTGAAGCCTTATGATTATATGTGCAGTACCACTGGCCACTGGCCCAAGCTGTCTCTTTTACCCTTTCATGAACCTAGTGGCTAGAGATTTTTGCGGTGCTAAAAATTTCATTAATTTTCTGCTAGGCACTGTTTTTTTTTAGCAGGAAGTTTGCCTACTGAAAAACCTTTATTCATGCCCTCAATTATTTTAGTGGGGCAATGATGATGAGAAAATACATGATGTCCAATCGATCAAAATTTCCAGAACTCTATTATTACTTTTTGTGAATTTAATTTCCGTCAGATGAAATAGTTAGACCTTTAATAAGTGTACCTTCCCCATCTTGTGCTGTCAGGATTTTCATGTTTTGGTTTCAGTGTTGGTTTTGCTAGCAATAGATCTGATAATTTTATTAATTTTGTTTCCATTTAAAGCAGTGTAGTTTCTAATGTCTCCACCACTGTTGGGTGGTGAGGAGGAAGGACAGAGCAATGGATCTATGGTAGCTTCTTCACGCTCTATGGACTGTATCTCCCATAATGGGTCTGGACTGAAAGAACGCAACTACCTTGGGTTGTCAGATTGTTCTTCAGTTGACAGCTCCACAGTTTCGAGCTTGTCAGAAGAGAAGAAGAACAAGCTGAATTTTCAGGCCACAGAGTTGAGGCTTGGTCTTCCTGGATCCCAATCACCAGAACGGGTACCAGATCTTTGCTTGCTGAGCTCAGGAAAACTTGACGAGAAGCCACTGTTTCCTTTGCTTCCGTCAAAAGATGGAATCTGCTCCTCATCACAGAAGAATGTTGTTTCAGGCAACAAAAGGGGCTTTGCTGACACCATGGATGGATTCTCAGATGTTAAAAGTTCTGTTTATACTGAAGGAAATTGGATGTTTCATGCAGCTGGTTCTGATTCTGAAGCTCCAGAATCTGTTGGACAAGGGAAGTTTCCTGTGAATTCAATCAATGTAATGCTATCATCCAGGCCTTCTGGGACTCAGCCAACCATGACAAAAGAGGAGCTCACTAAAGTTTTACAAGAACAGTCTCATCCTACGAATGGAGCCAGCCGTAACCCTTTGGGTGCTTCTAACAACAGTAGTGCCCCGGCTGCTAAGTAAGATGAAATTTTCAATTGAGGATTGTGAAGCTTTATATGAAAGTTGTGGTTGTTTGTAATCGTATCTTCTTCTTTGTTTGACAGGGCACAAGTTGTTGGGTGGCCTCCAATTAGATCATTTAGGAAAAATTCTTTAGCCACCACCTCAAAGAACAATGACGAAGTTAATGGAAAACCTGGTCCTGGTGGTCTTTTTGTCAAGGTCAGCATGGATGGTGCTCCCTACTTGAGGAAGGTAGATCTGAGAACCTACTCTACATATCAAGAGCTGTCTTCTGCTCTCGAAAAGATGTTCAGCTGTTTTACCATAGGTGAACTATTGCTCTAGTTTATTTAATAGTAATATCGTGCCTTTATTTTCTTTTTCTTATCAATGTGGTCATTTCATGCTTGGATATTGATGGATGTTTGCAATCTGAGATGTCTAAAGTGCAAATAGAGAAAACCATCCCATTTCTGCACAAACCCAATTTGTGCAATTTTTATTGTGATTTCAGGGCAATATGGATCCCATGGAGCTCCGGGAAGGGAAAGACTGAGTGAGAGTAAGCTGAGAGATCTTCTTCATGGATCAGAATATGTGCTTACGTATGAGGATAAGGATGGTGACTGGATGCTTGTTGGGGATGTCCCATGGGAGTAAGTTCTGATTTACCCGTTTAGTGTTCCAATATTTCTCTTTTGCTTTCCATCCACAAAGACAATTTTTTAAACTGATTTAGTGTAGAAACATTGTTGCTTTATTCCAAAAGTTAAGCTTTTCATTCGAAGTTATATATGTCATATCATTTGAATTTATAAATGTTATAGCCATTTTTACTCAACTAACAGTAAAAATTTGATGTATGTCGGTAAAATTTACATGTATGGTTGAGTGAGGAATATTATAGTTCACTTGTGAAGGAGGGTGATACTAGAAGGGCAAGAGATTTATCAATGAAATACTTCATTACCCACCTCATGTCAGGAGGGTGATAGTATTTTGTACATTTTAAACCATCCAAGAAACTAGAGATTTGAGATTCTGAAGCATCTCGAGGACTGGATAGTCTGCTGTAGTCTACATTCAAATCCTTCTTTATCTTTGATTTTTACATCAAATTGTGTCCATGCGATGAGAATGTATGCAAGTTCATTGATCATATGATGTGGGGTGCAAGATGTAATGGACAACAAAGTTATCATGCAACCCTTATTTTCCTATTTACAGAGAGATAAAGCCACTGTGACTAAGGATGTGAGGTTGACCATCATAGTATCATTTACTGAGTTGATGGAAATATGAGAATATGCACGAATCTTGTTTAGTTGACATACAATATTTTTACCTCAAATGAATTCTTGCATAAACTATTTAAATTATACATGTTATACCTCAATTTCCATATTCATTTGTATATGTTTTCTATATTAATAATAATAATAATAAAAAGGAAGGTCCATTTGTAGTATTAAAGTTTCAAAATTGATAAGCTCACTCATAAAGTTTTGAAAATGTGATAGTAGAAAGACTTCAACTAGTTACTTTATGATGAACTACAATCTCAAGAAACCTTGTTCAATATGCTAAAATTAAGTTCTTCTATTTTTTATAATTTATATCTTTCTATGGATGCAAAAATGTTCCAAGAGTTTTAAGTATTAACAGCAATCATGATTAGTCTCATTGTTATCAGACAAAAGAGGAAGGGAAATAATGGGGAAAAAAACAAAGGCAACAAAAGTAGTTCATTCTAATATCATGTATCCATAGGCCATGATACTCATCTCAGGCATTTTTATTTTTTATTTATGTTATGCATCTGCAATTTTAACTCCAATTCGACTTTTTAACAGGATGTTTATTGATTCATGCAAGAGGTTGAAGATAATGAAGGGCTCCGATGCCATTGGCTTAGGTTTGTCTTTAATGATCTCCCCTACTACTATTTGCACTGATTGGGCTGATAATAATCATCTTATTTGGTCAAAAATGTCATATTCGGTTTGGGAGAGTGTTTGTCTGCATAAACAAAAGGGTAGTAAGATACATTTCTAAGTTTTACCAAATTTATCTTGTTGGCGTGCTCAGCTGGACCAGTTGATAAATATTTTCATGTGCTTATCAGATGGATATTGGGGATTAAATGATTATAAAACAATATAGGCTGAAATTTTTTGAGGCAGTGAATGAGGAGTGAATTTTGTAGACAGGTTTGTTGATTTCCTATTTACTTCAGTAGGTATGATGGCAGTGTGCCAGTTGAGGATCAGTATCCAGCCATGAATAGATCCGTCTTAGTTGACTTGAATGCTAAGCAAAGATGATCATGTGATATAGGAGAATCTGTTTTGACTTTCCGAGCCCTGCGGTGAAAGGGTCTAACAAGTAAAGTTGGTATTTTGACATGAACTCTTTCCTAGTGGAGTTATCTAAGGTTGAATTTGACAGAATAAATTATGTTTGCAATATCTGTGCGAAGTAGAATGCATTGAAGTGATGGTTTCAGTTTCATGCTTTGTTGCCACACAACTTTATTTATCATTACAGTAGACTATTGCATTTGGTAGTGCTAGTTGCATATTTGCCATGTCACTTAAGGAAATACTTCTTCATATTAGAGTTCTATATTATTATAGTCCCAGCTTATATTTTTGCAAGATAGATCAATATGTGTGAAGCTTGGTTAGTAACCTCTAGCATTCATAAACATTCTGATATTTTCACCTTTTTAATTAAATGGTAAATTGTACTCTTATCCGGCCCTCTCTTTGTTGGTTTTTTTTTGTTTAGCTCCTAGAGCCATGGAGAAATCCAAAAACAGGAACTAGCCGGTGCCTGAAATTGACTGTTTCGGGTTCCCATTTTCAATTGAACATTATTGTGGGGAAAGAGGAGTAAGCTGCAAAAGTTGGAACTTGGAAGGAAGAACACAGACAGTATGGCCTGGGCTGGATGGCAGTATCACGTTGAGCATCTTGTCTTGTTGATGTTTTGATTGTCTGAAGAAAGAAAAAAAGAGCCATTGTTTTTTAGTCTGTTTATTATGAAACATCTTAAAACATGTTAAGAATATTAGTATTTGTGGAGTTCATAATGTTATAGCCAACTAGTTGAAGTTGTTTGTGATGCTGATAATTGTTCTTGCATGTAATGTTGCTTCATCACTCTCTTCATAGGCTTCCTTTTCAGTAATGTCAAATTTTCCCTTTTTGCCGGTTTCTTTACTCTTACCTCATGCTCAGCCTTGTTCTTCATTAATGGCTAGATTGGGCTGGGTTCGTACCAGGCCATAAATAGGTCTTGTTGCTGCCTGGCCCGGCTGTCCCAGATTTATGAATAACTCAATCAACGTTATGCACTAAACATGTTGGCATTGCTGTGCTGCCAAAATAATCATTGTCAGATTGTGAGAGAAATTAGTTGTGAGATAAAGCAGTTTGGCGTTTGGTAAACGTTTTATTAAACATGTTGGTATTGATTCCTACATAATCAAAAAATAATTATCGCATAATCATTAAACTCATCGCCTCTTTAAAACTGAAATCTGCATAATCAGAAAATGAAAGCACCTTATTAGCTGTTTTCCTTTATAGCTTTCTCTCACAGTAATTTTTAACAGTAAGTGATTTTCTCATAATTTACCAAATGAGTTGGACTTTTCAAAAATTTTAAAAAATCACTTATCGCCCTAAATAAGCAATGCCAAACATACACTAAAGATTTTTTTCAACAGGCCATGTTCTTTAATCTACGAGATTCTATTCTCTGCACATTGACTACCGCCCCATGTGGCAGAGATGTTGTCTCTTTGTGTTCTATATCATGTTCTGCCGTCGGAGTGTAGGAGGTATAGACAACATGTTCAAGTGCTTCCTGTTCCTGGTATATTAACTAGAGCATAGAGTAGAGGCTGTTGTCTGTTAACAAACTGAAGCATGTTTAGACTACTCTTAATTTAAGTTCAGAATTTGGTTCGAGGTCGGATTGCCGTCCAAGTCCTCCGAAAATCGGGTAGGCCGGTTTGGGCGAGTCAAACCAATCTCTCACAAATTTACTTATTTGGAATTAAAATAGAAGGGGGAGTTGGAATGAAACATAATCAAAATGAGGTAAATGCTAAATGATTTTCTTCTTCTTTTTGAAATTCTATTGGTAACAGTGAGGGATCAGATTCCCAAAACAAAAACTAAACTGACACTATCAAGGTGTTACGTGGATTCAAATTTGAAATTGGATAAACTCTGCTAGCCTAGTATTTTAGTTCAAAATCTAAATAACAAAAAGGTATAAAAGTCATCTTCATAAAATCAAAAGGCAATTATGATATAATCCCAAGTTCAAAGCCAAAAATGATGTTTGCTAGCTAGATAGCACATTGCTGACTGGTTGGTACTTTGTCAAGTTTCATTATTCAGGTCAGGGGAGATGCAATCAGATCCAGTAACTCAAATAAAGCAGCACATTTGATATCCGGCTCAGTGGATATACACATTGACTTTTGATGCATCAAACACTTCCATCACTTTCTTGTGGCAGGAATATTTTGTAGATTTGCTAAAATAATAAGTATATCATAATCTTCATAAGTGGAAGCAATAATTATTAATTTAATTTCCACTTTTTTTAATTTTAATTTTTTTAAAAAACATCATCCAAATAGCTCCATTGCTGCATTATCAAACCAAGCTTTCCGCCCACAATTCTTTATTTGTCATTATATTTGATGTGACAATTATTTTATATGAGCTTGATGAATGCACCTTTTGACTTTTCTGTTCTGCAATGCTGACCATTTTCTTGATCATGGGGTGTTTGTTGGCTTCAAGCTTTGGTGATGCTGCTGGTTGGTTCATAATTCCTTGGATTATTCTTGCGAGGTTAGTGAGTGAGTGCAAAGCATAATCATGACATTAATTACATTTAATATTGTTTATGACTTCATTTATTAATTCCAGATTCCATGAACCATCATGTTACTTTTGATTTCAATCATATGAAGTGGGTAGCTTATGATGATGTTGTTGCTGACTGATAAAAAATCATAGCCCTTGATCAAGAGTTTTTTTTGTCATTTTCTTCCCATTTATCATGGAACCTGTGATATTTGATTTGAATGCAAATTTGAAGTAGCAATACTTTTGGTGGAAACTAAAGGGTGATTTCATAGATCTTATTGTCTTTCAAATCAGACATATAAACTGCCATCTCACTGTCCTAAAAAAAACTGACAAAGTTTATACTTAAACATGGCCTTGTCATTTGGATCTTGCTAACTAGGGTATAATCACAACTACATGCAATAAAAAACTGATTGTATTTTATTTTTCATTTGGGTGTGCTTGGACTTAAGCACTCTATTCAACGTTGTCATATATCATATATTCATTCACTTCATTAGACTTGGGGTTCAGTTACTTCCTCCTCCATATAAATTCAAAGTTGGGTTCATTTTTCACCCCCGACTTAAATTTGGTAAATGCACACTATTAAGGTGCTATGAGAGTTCGAACTTGAAATCACTAGCCTATATGTCAAGATTCTTTTTCCACCTGGCTAAACCCCTTTGGCAGTTGTATATCCATTTTGTTCCATAACCAATATGAGTGGTTCAATGTTTGATGTTTGGCTCACCATAAGTACGTGCAATATTGTCTAGGAGAGTGATTTATCAGTGGAAACTTTACATCCATTTTGTACTTGTATCCAAAACCACTTTAAAGTTATAGCATTTAAAATCTAAATTATAAGTGTGTATAATTTATTTTAGATACAATCACAAAATCAACACGAAAAATTGTAGACTATTCAAACTGAAATCAAATACCAAACGACATCCGAAGGGGTCGGTAAAATTAGTTGAAATCAATAAAAGTTAGTGGGAAAAAGCTGTACTAGTTAGTGAGATTCGTTGGAATCATTTCTCGTCTGGTTAAAATTATAGGAAGATTAAAAAAAATAAAAATTACGGTGACCAATAACATGCCCATCATGTGGCTCAAATCTTCCTTGAAGCAATAGACAGATGTCAGATGTCAGATCTGCAGCAGTAAACTGTAAAAGTAATGTGATTGACGGCAGAGGTCATTCTTTGTTGGGCTGATAGTGGGGGACAAAAGTACTAGTGAAATGCTTCTGAGTAATTCTTAGAAATTGGTAAATTTGTTCCTTAATATAAAATTGATATCTGGTGTGATCTTGAGCCTTGAGGCGACATATCCCATTCATGTTGATCAAGTTTTGCAACGTTAGACATGATCCTTTCACCCAAGTTGTAATCGTTTTTCAAACTTGATATCATAATTAAGATTGTTTCGACACAATCATCTCAATATATGCATTGGTGTCACGCACCTTAATTATGACGTAATAGTCGAAAAATTCAAGTATAGAAATGCGGTTGTAATTTGAGTTCATTTTCACTAAAATTTTATATAGTTTGTGTATCTCTTACAATTCAATGAATATTTTCTATTTTTAACAACATGATAATCTATCACACACATTTTAGGGCGTTTAAAGTTCATATAGTTTAACTGGATTTCAATTAAAACCTTTATAGTTTGATCTAAATCACGTGCGAGGCACATAACCACACCATCCATTCAATTGACGGAAATAAGGATGTGTCCTCGAACTGCAAACCTTAGACAACTACAAGGTAAGTTTTTAAAAACAGGAACTATATGAAAGAAAGGTAGCTGTTTTGCGACCCCATCCATTGAAAAATCGCTTTAACCTCTCGGCCACCCAAAGTTTCCCAAAAATGTGTTGATATTATTAGACCCTTTGAAATAACATGAGCATCTCCTTAGATCTCCTTATTTTGCCATTGGTGAGGTCTATAGTGGTTCTTCTAAAATGGGCCATTTGAGCTGTCATGGGAGCTGAGTGATCATTTTCATGTACCTGCTAGTAATGGAACAACAACTCATACGTATCAAAGTGCCATGAGTTGAGCTGACTCAGCTGAGTGTGACCTTTCATCATTTGGATTATCGGTTTCAGCATCACTCACAACTGTCTAGTTTGTGTACCAAACAAATTCATATATTTTTTTGTCTCATCTGGTTTTTAGAGTCAGCAATGATTCATAGGAAATGGTACACGTGAGTTAGGCCAGTTAGTTAAGATCATGTGCCCGCCTCTTTGTATCCGAGTTCAATCCCCCTCTCCGTACAATAAAGACCCCTCCCCCAAAAAAAAATCTTAGAAAAGAAATCATCTGTATAACTACTGTCCTGTCTAAATTGAACAGTCTAAGTTTTGTTTGTGCAGAGTTATTTATGGATAAAGTCTGATTTTGGAAAAAGGAATTGGAGTACATGTCAAGTACTTGATTAAAAGAAGAATCTGTTTTTTTGTTGTTTTTGTGAAGTTAATGTTTCCACCTGTAAGTGGAAGGGAAGAGTAATTGCACAAGTGACATTGATTATAAAGAAAATTATGACATGTTCAAGTCAAAATTATAAATATAAAGGGCAGTACCACTCACACACACACATACACATGCTTCATTTGATTTGTTTTTCCCTTTGTTTTTTTTTTTTGGTTTTTTTTTATTTAAAATAAAATTCATGTACTTACAATCATACAAAAGGAGCTATAACTGATTAGACAACAATATTTATCCTTTCATTACGTGAGATACACACAAAATTATATATAACTAATTGTAGGTAAATACTAACAAGTACTTGCATGCCCTATTGTAGACTCGTTTGGTGGGTTCCCTTAACCAAGCCCCTACCTGTGAGTCGATAACTCATAGATCTAAATCATTAATCAACGTATACGTTGACATTAATTAACGATTATTTATATGCGTCAA